GGGGAGATGGGGGTCTCCCTGGCAGGCGGGTCGCTCTGCCCCCGGGCGCGGCGGGAAAGGGGTCTGGGCTCCCCCCAGGGGAGAGACCATGCCACCCCCAGCCTCTCTCTGGGTGGGGCAGGAGGGCGGAGCAGCGGGATACCTGGGCGCCATGGCCAGATGTCGCCCTTCACCTCCATGGTAATGAGCTGCCGCCGCGCACATACCACGGGCTAACAGAGCCACTCGTGGACTCGCAGCGAAAGGCAGCGGTGGAGGCGGCTCCAGCAGGTAAGGGCAGCAGCGGCAGATATACAGCAGGGCGAGCGGGGCTGGCGTGGGGCCTATTGAAGCCCGGGGCCCAGGGCAGCTGTCCCACTCGCCCTGCCCTATATCCCTGGGGCTGGGCTGGCCTTACCATGAGGCAAACTGAGGCGGCCACCTCAGACTGTGCGGGGGCACCACTAGGACCCAGAGTGTAGAAAATTGTGTCTGTTGCTGGCCCAAGTGAGGGGCATTGGGGAGTCATTTGAGCTCCCTGCCTCATGTGCCAAAATTTTGTGGGCTGGCCCTGCAGATGTACAGGTTACCCAGAGCTGTGAGGCGCTGAGTTACTGCTCTGCCTCAGCAAGGGTGAGCTCTGCAGCTGCTAAACTGTGGGCCCTTCCAGCCTATTAGCCTTGCCAGCAAACTCTCCAGGCCTTTGCGAGTCCAAGCTTTGCCATGCAGGTACCAGTTGCTGAGCCCCAGTTCATGCGTGCCCCTGAAGGATGCAGTGTCTCCCACTGTGGCACTCCCAGTGGTTCCAGAGAGCTCAGGCCAGCCAGTCACCTTCCCTGGAGTCTCACACTTCACTTTAACACACAGCACAGAGAGGCTTTGTTGTACAACAGGACCGAGCGAGCTCATTAGCAAAGAACAGAGGGTTCAGAGATCCCACATCAGAGTGAAAGTGATGGGAAAGGTTACAAACCAAACATGCTGTCTAGTGCCTAAAACTGCAGCAGCTTATGCTCTGCCTAAGCAACTTTCTCACCTTGAGTCAGTTCCCAGTGACCCTCCTTGACTGAAGGATCCCCCATCCCAGATTTCAAGAGCTCTGGTCTCTCCTGGCCTCTGGGTGCCAGATGCCCAATTTTTTTCCCCTGCTTTTGTTTCGCAAAATCTGTTGTTTCTGTTTCAAAAGCCAGGAAGGCTTCCCGGATGCAGCCTCTGCCCTCCTCATGATTGGTAAGGGCTCGTCTCCCCAACTGGCTTGGGTGATGCCGTGGAGAATCTAATTAATAGAAATGCTCTATGTCCTAGTAAAGAAGAGAGGATGGAAGATGATAACATATGGTTATGATCTGAAGAGAAACAGTCAAATGAAAAAGAATGCCATTCAAACACATCATGTAATGGCAGACAGCTCATCAGTGACAAGTTTTTAAAGTGCTTGTAAACAAACATTAGAAGTCTAAATAATATGGGTGAACTAGAGTGCCTTGTATTGAATGAGGGTATTAATATAATAGACATCACAGAAACTTGGTGGAATGAGGACTAAGGATGTTAAATATTGGTCAATTGAATAGTCAATTAACCTCATGAATTCTTATCGGTTAGTCGACTAGTCCATAGTCCCCAGCCGTGGGGCTGGCAGCCAGTGCGCTCCAGCCCCCCTCCCAGGGAGCCCTTTGCCACCCCACGCTGCTGCCTCTGTATCACGGGGTGCCAGGCTGGAGCTGGTCCGCAAGGGAAGCCAGTTTACAAAAAGTTGCCTGAGGGTATGTCTACACTACAGCACTAATTCAAACTAATTTAATTCGAATTAGTTAATTCGAACTAAGCTAATTCAAACTAGTGCATCTAGACCTAAAAACTAATTCGAATTAGCGTTTTGCTAATTCGAACTAACATGTCCACATTGAGTGAACCCTGAACCAAGGTTAAGGATGG